GTGTGTATCCAGGTATTAACAAAAAATATAATGAGTTAAATGTGTAAGAATGCTACTAGCTGTAATTTGAACTTAACTTCGCGTTCACATGCTAAGTCGATCGTACCTGGCAACAGATAAACCACTTGAATGATGCAGAATCTGCAATGTAACAGGAATAGCGATTTAATGAGAATAGATTGTTACAGTAATGTGTAGAATATACCAAATCTATTAGAAATTATATCAACACAGTATCGCGGCAGTGAAGTGATTTAGATTAATAATGTAATTTTATTATTATCACAGGATATATAAATAAAAATCTAATATCATATACTGCCTCTTCATACAAGTAAATCTAATGCAGCATTTTAAATCTGGTATATATAATGACATTATAAACATTATTATAGCAGCCACTCAAAACATATGCGACAAATCCCTAGCTTTCTCGGATTTTCAATATTACATTTTTGATCGTAAAATTTTGAAGTTGCAGTTGCATAAGATGAGAAATAAAGTGAGAATCTGCTCTACGCGAGAACAACTTTCTCCTGTCTTTATGTTTAGAAGGGTATTAGTTGCATGTTACCGTGAAAAGATTTTCTGTCTGGATTAATTCACAATTTGTCGCTAAATTGACTGGCCTAGAAGTTTTCGGCACGGTATGTATTAACTACGCATTGTGTAGAGATAATTGGCCAGATGCAATACATTATGTTGGACTTATTCTTGAGCCGATTGACCCGAGGCGTGAAAACAAGCGCTTAATGTTAATTGAAAGAATTCGGTCCCTGTGACAATGGAATGTCTTTGTAACTTGTATTAGTGTGTGTGTTAAAAACATCCGAAGAAACAACACTACCTCCTACAACAGTGTTGAGTGTATACCTGCATGGAGAGTGCATTATGCAAAAAAAGCGGCCTGCTTACGGGTATTTCGCTGCTGTCTGGGCAAAGGCAGTTTGTTTACTTGACATGAATTGGGGAGTACCAGTTACGTGTCTCACCTGTAATTTGCAACATAAAGGGAAAAAATAAATTCAGTGATTAAATTTATTGGTTTGTTGGACGCCACTCTTTTGGGGGATTTTGCGTGGTACAAATAGAGAAATCCACGTGGGTAAAATAATAGCAAACACAACACCTCTCCTTCCGGCAGCGATTCTTATACAGAAGCTCTTTTTACCGGGGTTCTACAGGGTGGGATAAATTAGTGCAGCTTGTCATGGCGAAAGCTCTGAAACACAAGATGACATGTAAAGATACCAGTCAAATCAAGGCAGGTAAACGTATAACATCAAATATTACAGACTCCTCACACATCCAACACAGTGAATAGAATACTCACCAGAATATTCAAATGCAATACAATATTTATTCGAACATCCACACTGCTAAAACTAACGGAAATACCAGGCGGACCCATCAACATGTAATCAACGCACTGGCAAATTCTCAATGGTAAAACAAAGTCATGAACTAATAACAGTACTGGCTTTAAATAGACTTAAATACAGCCAACAATTGTCCAGCAATAACTGTGTTTAAAAATATTACTGCACACTCGTCGATAACTCACAACTGCGTGAACTGTAAATACGTCAGTGACTGGTCAAAGGTCATCTATTAAATCGCTGAAACCAATGGTGGGAATATAAAAACAACACATGAAATAAAATAAAATACATAGAATCTCTACATGAAAAGAGTATAAATGAATGCAAAACTCAGGGTCGCTGTTAATTGCGACTATTGCAATTGAAAACAAAGTTTCTGTTCGCAAAATCTTAATCTAACGATGACGCACTACCAACTCTAAATGCCTCGTGAACAGCAATGAATATAAATAAGAAATCGTTATATGAAAGCGTTCCTATATTCGATTTTACTATGGAAATACTCCCCAAAATAGCTAATTATGTGGGCAAATCCCAGATCGATTGCTTCAAGGGAAGCTGGCTCTCTTACATCCAGTCAAAACGTGTTCGCGGCAAACGACTGAGAAAACAATGCTGCTGCAATTTAATCACGCTCATCCGAAACAAGAATAAGACACAGCCAAGTTCACCCACACGTATCTCTCTCATACGGGGTAGGGGTCTCACCTGAACAAGCCTGAGTCCAGCGAGTAGCCTTTATCTCGTAGTGCAAACTGGCAGTAATTACCTCTGATCCTGGTCTTCGCTTAGCAACCTTGTCGTGTACAGCGAACCGCTATCTTCATTATCTTCGTCCCGTCCTCTCGTCTCCTCTTTCTCTCAGATTTACTTGTGTCACTTAGCTCCGGTAAGTTGTGCTCGAATGTCTACAAGTTCAGTCCCGCAACAGATTTACTCCGAATACTGTCTACCAGAAATGTCTGGCAGGGAAATCACAGTCTGGTAAAAAGTTACGTTCATCAGCGCGTCTCCAGTCTTGTTTTTTTTCTCCGATGTCCTCCGAGCAAGCCCGAAATGAACTCGTAATGGTAACTCAGTGGTTTCGTCATCATATAAGAACACGCTGGGTGTTAGTGACATAAACACAGCGGTTAGGTTACCGAGCATAAAAATTCACTTCCATATTGACCAACCTGTTAATTCATAACATCACCAAGTGCGAACTGTAATAACAACCGGTGTACTGGGGCGACTTTCAAAGGTGTTTCCATGACAACACACTGTATATTACGGTTCCTCGCAGTCGTTACCTCCATGGCGTGTCGCTGTACAATCCCACTGTTGTGGGTATCTCAACGATAATGGTTAAATAAAAAAAATCCCTGACGTGTACACAATGTAACGATTTCAAATTTAGAGCCAAGGGTGGACAAATTTCCCTATGTTTCCCGGGTTGAACTATCACCAAATAATGACACAAATGTATCGGATAATATATTTTCATTTCATTTATAGTACTTGTAAATAAACCAACAATTTGGCCATAAACATATGAATGAATTTACACAACTCAAATATAAAAATAAAGTTACATTAACATGATATGCTCTAAGTACAGAAAATAATAGGGTCTGCTTATCAAACAAATGTCAAGTATATTCCAGCTGGTCCGAATGGCGAACGAGTTTTCACCACGTGGCATGTCTTTGTTGTATCACGAAATTGTAGAGCGACTTTCCTTCCTCTTGATATTGCGTATAGGTTCGGACTTCGTGCGCCACTGACGAATTTCACTGAAACGACTTGAAACAGAAGACACCTGAAGAAAAGCTTGATATTCAAAAAAGAAACAAGAGGGAAATAAACGAAACTACCCACAGCTTTCTTATGCAAAGCATTTTGGATTCAAAAACGCCACTAACGGCCCAAACCACATCTAACCAGACACAATGAATTTAATTTTTGCTATACATAACAACAATCACATCAATCAATAAGAAAAAAATGTTCCTATCCCGACGCAAGTACCAAAACAGTGCTAATTATAAAAAAAACTTGTTACCATTGACACATTCCCAAAGACCCAACTACCACGATGACTTAGAAAATGAACATAGTAATACAGAAGTGATGCAATTATAAGGTTTCTGCATTGAATATTCAGGTGTAACGTTTGAGAAACGAACCCAACTAATAAAAAAATAAAAACAAACAATATTTAACTTGTCAACATGCAAGACTTTACCTAATGTATATTGAAAATGTAAAATATTTCAGACCACATTTAACCAGACACAGTGGAAGGCGATATCGAATTTAATTTATGCCTTACACAACACCCTAACCCATAACAGCTTTTCATATTCAACGTAAATACGTAATTTCCTACAATAAGTACAATACTTATATTTCTCTGGATAAAGCATCGGCAACAATATTATCTCTTCCATTAATATGTTTAATATCCAAATTGTATTCTTGTAAGGTTAAACACCATCTGATTAAACGTAGATGTACATTTTTCATACGACTAATACAAGTGGGTTATGATCGGTGGATACCAGCACATGGCATAGAGTAACGCACAAATATACATCAAAGTGTTTTACAGCCAATATCAAAGATAAACAATTGTGGAATAGTTTTTTTCTGGTGCTTATCAAATTTCGTAGAAAAATAACAAATAGGATGATCAAAATTGTCTTCAAGTTGCATGAGCTTACCACCACAACCTACATCACTAGAATCTACCATTAGTTTGAATTGCTTTTGTAAATCAGGCGCTATTACTACAGGTGAACTCATTAAAATTGATTTTACTGCATGAAATGCATGTTCACAAAATGGTTCAACGGACACATGAACTCTGCAAAATTGTGACAGAATTAACGATAATAACCTACTAATCCAAGATATCGCTGTACCTCGCGTCTATTAGTAGGTGTAGGATATTCTCGATTGCATAAACTTTGGCTTGACGAGGTTTGACCTTACCTTGTCCTACAACATGACCTAAGTACGTCACAGTGGCATGACAAAACTCGCTCTTCGCTAAATTTACATTCAAATCGCTTCAGATAACGTTCTAAACAACTGTTCAAGTATGTCAACATGTTTGACTAGACAATGACATCGTCAATATATGCTTTACAATTTTAGATATTACATTATTAATCATGCGTTGAAATGTTGCTGGTCCATTTGACAAACCAAAACTCATAACTGTATAATTATACAAACCAAATGGTGTACAGAATGCAGAAATTTCTTTGGCACAATCAGTGAGTGGAATTTGTCAATAACCTTTCAGAAGATCAAATATGCTCCATTCACTATTACTGTGTTCAATTACTGTGATATCATTTTCAAGCATATACCTAATTTCATCTTTAAGAATATACATTTTCAAAGGATTCACTTTATATGGATGTTGCTTAAATGGTTTTGTGTCACCAATCTCAATTACTTGTGAGGCAGCACTAGTCTTATTAGTTGTATCTAGGAACAATTGTTTCCACTTCATAACAATATTTATAATCAACTGTTGCTGGTCACCAGAGAGATATCAAGTTTACTATCTAAATGGGCAAAGATATAAGAATTGTTTAGTTTCATAATATATTCTCTCTATCCAACCTCATTCTGCCTATTACGTTCTTCTATAATCACACCAGTACACAATGATTCACAGAACCAACTATTAGGTGTTTTAACAAAGTAATTTAAATCACTAAGTTTGGATTCAATCACATAAGGTCCATGATATCGGGCCTGAAGTGCATGTCCTGACATTGGAAAGAGTACCAAAACTTTATCACCTGGTTTAAAGTCTCTCAACCTGGCATTTCTGTCATACCAATAGTTTATCTTTTTTTGACCTTTGACATATTTTCTTTGGCAGTCGCTGTTGCCCTTATCAACCTATGTTTAAAATTAGAAACGTAATCTAACAAATTAACATCATTCTGTTCCCTTAGCCACTTCTCTTTCAAAAGTTTCAAAGGGGCACGTACCGTGTGCCCAAAAATCAACTCAAAGGGTCTAAAGTACCTTGTATAGCATCCCTCATCACAAAAAGTAAGAAACGTATATCTTCATCTCAATCTCAATCAATTCCAAACAATAAGTTCCAATCATATTCTTTAAAGTTTGATGGAACCTTTTCAAACACCCATGTGATTCAGGATGATAGGTGTACGAGTGACTATTGAATTTGGACAAACTTTACCTCCAGCCAAGTCGTAGCCTGGCAACATTACCACGTCCTTGGCTGGAAGTTCAGATTTAATACCTACGGTAAACAGAAACTAAACTGGAACTAAAATTATTCTTGTGTAAATGCACTTGAAATACATTCCATTCAATATTATAGATTGTGAGCAATAAGTATCCCTCATTACTTTAATTGGTATTTCTTCTGAATTCTCATTCAAAGACACATACCCTTCCAGAACAAACGGTGTAAGTTCTTCATTGACCGCGTCTGTTTTAACATTATCAGAGACTTCTCTTGACTTTATATATTGGGAAACAGAATAGTTATGCGGTTTCATTGAGACAATACAACCTACAGTAGAAGACGCTCCCTTCTTTTGCCTCTTTAGCTCTTTAAAAGTAACATTGTGACATTACATGAATATTTCTTTTACAATAATTACAAGTAACCGGCGGCTTAAACTGATTTTCTTTGCCACCTATTGTTTTATTTTCCTGGCTGTTAACGTTAGGCTCCACTTAAATCTTAAATATTTCCGTCCACTTCTTTAGAATTGACCAATCTATCTAACATTTGCTCATTTACCCTTGCAAATTCAACATATGTTTCACTAAATCTCGTTTTTTAGTTTCCATGAATTTCAATCTATACGCTTCTGGGACTAGCTCATAAGCATTTAGCACTACCTGTTTAACATTGTAATGTTTAGTACGATCACTTAAAAACAGAGCCGAGTAGACATTTCTAGCTCTACCAACAAACTGACACTGAACCAATAATGGCCACGACCCCTTGAGCCACCCTAAACTGGTAGCTATTTTTTTCAAAATGAACAAAACAATTATCAACTTCATGTTCTTCAAACTTGGGTACAAGTTTCATACATTTAGTGGTGTCAAAATATGAAACATCCTTAGTAATGCTAAATCTATCAAGTTTGTCATGCTCAAACTTGTATTGCAATCCTAATTTTATCATTTCAGTTCTTTCTGTCATTTCTAGTTTTAGACCTGATATGTAACAGGTTTATGTGGAGTTTCATGTTCCTGTTCAGTCTCCTTTTCCATAGGAATCTAACTCAAAATTTCATTCTCAATTAAATATTTAATAACTAATTCTTGTATTTCCTGTCTTTTCATACCCTGTTTAACATTTAAATTTGTATACTAACCCAACGCAAGTAAGTCATCTTTTCGTAAATCAGACAATGACTCCCATGTAATATTATACACACCGGGGTCAAATAAAGCCGTAGTTGGTGTTTTCAAGCACTAATAATATAATAAAATATAGAACAATTTTCGTGTAATTTATTCTCCCGGACAAGCCCCTATTTGTCACGATTTCAACTAAGAGCCAAGGGTGGACAAATCCCCTATGTTTCCCGGGTTGAACTATTAGCAATTAATGACACAAATGTATCGGATAATATATTATCATTTTATTTATAGTACTTAACCAACAATAAGGCCATACACATATAAATGAATTTTTAAATGAAACAACTCAAATATATAAATAACGTTACATTACAATGATATTCTCTAAGTACAGAAAATAATACGAACGAGCTTTCACACCGTGGCCGGTCTTTGTTGTATCACGAAACTTGTAGAGCGACTTTCCTTCGTCTTAATATTGCGTACAGGTACAGCCTTCGGGCGCCACTGACGAATTTCGCGGATCACTTGAACGACTTAAAACAGAAGACACCTGAAGAAAAGCTTTAAATTCAAAAAGGAAACAAGAAATAAACGAAACTACCCACGTCGACGTCAAACCAAAAGTGAACAAAACCCACAGCTTTCTTATGAAGCATTGTGGATTAAAAAACGCCACCAACGGCCCAAATCACATTTAACCAGACACAATGAATTTAATTTTTGCTATACATAACAACAATCACATCAATCAATCAGAAAAAAAAATGTTCTTATCCCGACGCAATCACGAAAACAGTGCTAATTATAAAAAAACTTATTACCATTGACAAATGTTATTTGTAACATACACATTCCCAAAGACCCAACTACCACGATGACTTAGAAAATGAACATAGTAATACAGAAGTGATGCAATTATAAGGTTTCTGCTTTGAATATTCAGGTGTAACGTTTGAGAAACGAACCCAACTAATAAAGAAATAAAAACAAACAATATTTAACTTGTCAACATGCAAGACTTTATCTAATGTCTATTGAAAATGTAAAATATTTCAGACCCCACTACACACAATGTGTGTCCATTGAGTACCCGCCCCGGGGAATAATCTCACTAAAAGTATATATGACGTATGTTGCATGCGAGGTACAATTTACTCTGCTACACAGAGAGCAGATACACCGTCACACACATACCTTCTGCATAGGAATATTTGTACCTGTGTACTTGTTTGCATGACCATTAAAACAAATAGCACCAGCGGCTTGTCTAGCGAGTGGACAATCCTCGTACATGTATTTGCTTACGGTTCTTTGTGTAGCGTATATAACCAACATTCGTACGTGATATGTTGGTAGCGGTTTCGGTGTCTACTTTTTTGGGCACTAAGTTCCAGCTGGTGATGTTAGTAAATTAATCTAGTAAACCTGTTTCGCTTACTATTCTTTTGTATATGCCCTCTTTCTTTTGTTTTAGAAATAATATATGATATGAAATTGTTTTGAAATCGTATTAGCAATTGTTTCCATTCCACTGCCATCCTGCAATATTACTATGCGTGTCTGGCAACTAATATAATAATTATGCGTGGTCGGCAACTTGAACGGCGGGGTTTACTGTGATTCTCCGTTCTGTGAAATTGCTGGTACTGTAATTGTAGCAATAGTTACTCGAAATATGCGCAAGACAAGTGTGTTACTGCTAGTACCCATCATTAAAGAGATGAAGGTGACCAGAAAAATGAAGATTAAACGAGATGACACTTTTGCAGAGAAAAAAAAAATCATTTGGAAGCTCAATACCAAGACATGTGAGGATAAATATTGAATTATTATAAATAATATATCAGTATTACTATCTATTTTCCTATCATCGTGTGCATTAGGAAACATACATCATTATTGACAGGGTTGCATTTACGTATATTTAAATAATATTTACTGTTTTAAATACACCAACTTTTCAGCAGGGCCTCTAACTTTTCAGAGATGGTCTCACTTGTGGCTACCGCATTGTTTGTGGAAACGTATTACAATGCTATGAAGTGGTGCCTGAGAATCAAATAACTACGATCGTTAAAGAGCATATGGCGCCTCGTCAACCTGTTAAAATTACAGTACAGGTAAAGATCACGGAACGTCAGAGATTTGTGAAAGGGGATTGAAAAAAGCAACAAGCTGTTCAAGTAAACCATTTAGAATATATAATACCGAGATACAATCTCTCTTCTTCCATTCGACATATCATTTATATACCCACTATATATTCAATAAAATAAAACTTTTGTTCAGATTCACTAAATGTAAATGTCAACATTAAATTTATTTCATTTGCCACACTATCAATAATTCACAGATACTGTGATTGTATATTATATTATGTGACAGCGTTAATACGACCTGCCACCAAAAGCTGTGGCAATATATCCTGGCTTCTAGCGATGTTGTAACGCCACAGCGACAGTTACTTGATATCTACATTCATATATTACAACTCTCCTATCAACTGTAGGTGGCGTAGGCCTGAAATAAAGATGGAAAAATCAATAGAGTATCATCTTATTTACAGACAGAAAAGTGTCACTCTATATATATATATTAACGATCGTCTCGCAGTTTACCTGCCACGACTGATTGAAATCCGGCATTGAAATCCAACGATACTTCATTTTTGAAATAATCTTTCCTGGCGTCTTTGTAGTTGTCATTGGCATCCGGTCCACCAACCATTGCGCCGTACAGTACTTGCGGATTCGGTGCTGCCAAACCCAGATATTTAACCCCACAGGGCGCTGGCTCGTCAGGACAAGAACTGCGTAGACCAACAAAGAAAGAACAAATCAATTATTTTAGCTTTTTTTATTTATAATCATTTTAAATTTACCATAGTTACTATTGTCGAAGGGAATGAAATAATGCTTTTTTTAAATAAATAAACAAATTAATAAATAAATAAACTAACGATCCTCTGTGGTGTGGTTGGACAGGTGGGTTCACACCATATCCTACTACAAAACTTCTTCCGGTATCGCCTAATACATAATCAACTTGCGTCTTCGCCCAGTTTCTATAAGCCGTTTTTTTCACTCCAGCTTCGGCAGTTGTCAGTGCAATAAATGCTGAAGCGGCTGTGAAAGAGATATATATTCCATACTATCTTATTTGTTTCTGTTTTTTGTCGGAATGAAAAGGCATTGTATGTGAGGGTAAATATTGTCCAATGTCCAAGAGCATGGGGAGTAAAGCTAAAGTAAACGTTGCATAATGAACAATTGATCATCATACAATTATGTAAATGTGTTTCGAAACCAGTATCGGTAAAATGAACAAATGACACCTCAATAATACAAACATACACACATGCATTACTGCTAAAAAATTCTAGCAGGTGGACGAACTTACTTGCATATCTCAACGAGCCCCAGTTGTCGCGAAACACTAAACCTTTTGGTGTATACGGCATGCTACCTCCCGGCAACCACTCCGTTAGAAACTTTGCAGTTACGCCAAGTTTGAAACTGGTATCTTGTAGATCTGTACCTTGAGTCAACTGCAACAACATCGCCTATTCAAAAAGAGTCGTTAACCGTCGAATGCAACATGGATCACATAGCAGTGGTTCAAATATGGACATTATATAGTCATACAGGATCGTTTTTATGTGGTTTCACTTCATTTCAATTCTAGAGGAAAATATTACGAATATGTCCTATTCTAGGACGTTTGTCGTCAATGGCTTTTGCAATCTGCAAGTATATTCCATCTTGGAACTACAGAACAACAAGAAATTACCAAACTGTGATGTACTTTGTTCACACGCAATATATACGGCGTTGTAGCACCGCCGTAAATGCAGCGGTTTTATTTTTTATGTGCCTATATCGGCAACTGCTCGGTCGTAAATTCTAAAAAAGTGAACATCGATATCGGCATACACAATATTACATATAGAAAGAAACACGCTGATTAGCACTCCATTTTTAACTTGAGTTTAACATTTCGGATGGGGTGTGATTTTTGCTGTGGATTTGTCTTCAGACCAGTAAATACAGAAAGAAATACGCCGTTGTGGGGCTAGTGCGGAAACCGGTGCTCTCACTGGTTCTGCAGCGCATGGAGTATTTCTAATCCGTGTGAACAAAGTATGACTAATCCTCTTTGACTGGCTTTGCGCCCTGCTTATATAAAATATGCTGCCTACCCTATATCCCACTGTCACATCATTCCAACCAAAGGAATACGGTTTCAAGAATGATTCGCCGTTAAACAGGAGTATTGCTCGGTCGAGGTATGATATTTCATTTGTAGCTTTATACAGCCAGCACGCAGCCCAAATAATCTCGTCCATATATCCAGTGGAGCTAGCAACATGAGTCGAATGAGGGTATCATTGCAATGTTTAGATAGATCAACAAATTCAATAGTATGATGTTTAAGACAACATATTTGTCAAACCTAATAACAGTGTATTGCAATAGGACAGAAAATCAAAGTAAAAGAAAGAATCACGAACACGGAATTTGTGTATATTTTTTACCGTTGTGATTTTATACACACATATAATCTTCGATTGACTTATTTAAATTAGTGATATTCCCACACGGAGAATTACTATGGTTGTCATCACTGTACCCTTCTACAATCGTTAAAACATCCCTCACTGTGACGCTAAACTAACAACATTCGTTGAATTTTGAACAAATATATTATACATATATAATTTCAGATGTTATGTAATTTACTATGTGTGCATCATAAAACAAAACATAATACAAGATTACAAGTACACAATACGAATAAATAGTGTAACGTACGGACATATGTGAATGTGTATACAGTATAGATGCAATTACACAAATAATCGAGGAATTGGAAACCGTTTACTCACTCATATACTTTAGCAGCCATGGGTATACTGACAGAATATTTCCCTCTGAAGTCGTCGGCAAAAGTGAAGAGCTCTCTGGCATGTTCTACTAATATCGCAGAATATTTTACATCTATAATATATCAACCAATAGGCGTGATGATAACCGTAAAACTGCGTATTTATGTATTCTATAATATTTCATACATGTTGGACAGATGTTTTAGATAGTAAGTAATACAGTCTACGTCAAAAGCACAACACATTCATCGCAGTATTTAATTAAGCAATAACCCCCTCCGAAGGCGGGTATACCACGAGATATTGCACAATTCACGACATATATGCACGAGCCGTAGGCGAGTGCATATATGGAGTGAACTGTGCAATATCAAGTTTTATTATAATTGGATAAAACAAGTCAAAAAAGAGTTTACTTTCATCTACTAAAAGATCATGATTATGGCCCTTGAACATGAATATTTATAAGAATAGTATGTAGTTGTACGCTGAATGCATACAAAAATTACATGCACAACACAGTTCAAATTGAATACAAACTAATTTTTATTCCACATG